TACACACTGCCCGAATGTTGCACGAATCTGCGGTGTTTTGATCCATTCCCGGCGAAGCGCTTGCTTGAGGTGATCGACACTTTGGTATTTTTTATTGCCAACTAGACACAATGGTCCAACGGATTGGTATCCGGAGATTTTGCGACGCGGGTTTCCATTAAGTCGTTTCTTTACTTTTCGAACCATTTCTGCTGTTGTTTCTGGCAATATAATGAACTGTCACTAGAATTAATTTAATTTTAGTGGCTTAGAAATGACAGCAGTCTGAAATTGGTTGCACTTTTTTTCATCTCACCCTGTAGAACGACTGCAAAATTAGGAAAAATGATAATTCAAATAATTTTTTGGTCCATTTGAACCCTTAATATATATTTTCAAAAACAATTACCTTTAATTCTGACCCTAATCCTAAGCCATGCAAAATTCCGTGAGGATCGGACGATAATTGCGACCTGTGCAGGGGGTGTAGAAAAACTTTAGAAAATGTATAATTTAAAATTGTAAGTCAAACTGTAAAAAATGTTTTTGTCATATATTTACGAGATTATCATAGATTTCATCTTTATCTGGCAAGAGACCACCCCGAATTTATGAGAATTGTGAAAATCAGTCCAGCAGTTCTTGGCTTATAAACAGAATAACTAAGATTTATTTCAAATATAAATTGGTTTGGTTTATATTACCCGCTAAATATTGTCCGATGACCATTCAAATTAGTAGGCTTCAGCCCAACCCTCTAACTCGATGCAAAATTCCACATCAATTGGTTTATATTTGTGGTCTGTTGAGTAACTATAAAATCAGGATTTTTTCTGTTTTTGGTCCATTTCATCTCCGAAAAACATTAGGGCTCATTTGTAACCCTAACCCCACATCCATTTTCAGTTTGGTGAGGATCGGGCCATAATTGCGACATGTAGTGTGATTTCAAATTAACATGGACAGATGGACATACATAGCTAGATCGACTCATTTATCTGTTTTTATAGGCAAGCCTTCTCAATGTCATTATATGCACACTATTCCAACATTTTTTAGGGGAGATCTCAACCTTCAACTTCAAAAAATCCTTCGTCAAATTAAGTGAAAATCAATTTAGAAAAAAACTTGCTCGTAATTATAAGGTACATCGCATTTGTTATGACTTAGTTCACCCAAATTCCCAATTTAAAGGCATATTTCTAGCTTTGTTAAATATGCATAGTGGTACAGGGTATCCAGTAGCCGGCTCGCCCGAATTTTATCTTTCCTTACCAGTTTTATTTGAAATCGATTAAAATCGGTTTATTTTTGCACATACAGATTTATTCACATATATATTTTTCTTTTCTCAAGTCTGAACCATTTGTTACATGTTCTATATGAAGTTTTCAGTAGAATCTGCATTTCAAAACAATTGCCTGTAGGGAAAATTATTTTCTCGAAATATAAACCTCTCAACAATGCTCTTTGCTCCCCATAAATCTCGAAACATTCAACCTATTTTAACAGCCGACATAGTATGTTAATCGTTATTTTAATTGGCTCGGTGTGACAAACAAAGCGTTTTGCCACAATTTACATATCGCTCTGACGCATGCCATGATTATTCGAATGAATTTAACACCAATTAATTTAGCGAACCATCTTTCGCGCTCTTTTTGTTTTTTTTTTCACCCAACTGGCCACTGACTATTTAAACAAACCATCGAAGATTACGAATTACGAAACAGGTTGTTGTAACGTTTTCAAACTAATTTGAATAAGTCGTCAATTAAAAAACAATTTATGTGGTGTTGATTAAAAATGAAATAAAAAAGAAACAGATTTAAGCGGAACACCAATTGAGGACTTGGTGGTGGCGAGCGAGCGAACGAATCTCAGAAGCAGATGCCATAAAATTAATTAACATATTATCTATAAAATCGAAAAGTGCTACTGGTGCTATTTGGAGATATAAGCGGTAATTTAAACGAGATCAAGAATTTTTTTTCAAAACGTCAAACGGGTTTTCATGAAACGTAACTTCAAATGAAGACATTCAAATATTTAAATAATGGACATGATTAAAATATTTCTCATTTATGCTTGATGTTAATTCGTTTGTTCCGTTTGCTGGGGTTCAGGCAAAATAAGTTTGAATTTTCATTTTTATATTAAGTTTGTCATTCCGTTTGTAACACCTCGAAGTATACATTTTCTATGTCGATTTAGCGATGTCCGTCCGTCTATCCGTCTGTCCGTCTGTGGAAATCAATCTAGCTTCCGAACGAAATGAAGTAAGTTGATAAAAATTTACTCATACGTGTATTATGTCTGCAGGACATAATTTGCCATGTAGGTCCACGTCTTCCTATAGCCTCCATAAAACGGTACCTCCCGATATTCGATATTTTGAGGATTTAAGCGACATTATTTACCGGAATTGTTTCAAATTTTGTATTTGAAGTTCGTAATGGATACCTAATACAGAAAATGAGCGATGTAGGTCCACGTCTTCCTATAGCCCCCCATATAATGGTACTCCCGATATTCGATATCTTGATGATTTTAGCGACATTATTTACGGGAATTGTTTCATATTTGGTATTTGATGTTCGTAATGGGTACTACAGCCTATGACAGAAAATTGTCTATGCAGGTCCAAGTCTTTGTATAGCCCCCATATAACGGCAGCCTCCGATATTCGGTATTTTGATGATTTCAGCGACATTATTTACCGGAATTGTTTCAAATTTAGTATTTGAAGTTCGTAATGGATACCACAGCCTATGACAGAAAATTGTCTATGCAGGTCCAAGTCTTTGTGTAGTCCCCATATAACGGTACCTCCCGATATTCGGTATTTTGATGATTTTAGCGACTATATTTACCGGAATTGTTTCAAATTTGGTATTTAAAGTTCGTAATGGATACTACAGCCTATGTTTTTTGTGCAGGTCCACGTCTTCGTATAGCCCCATGGTACCTCCCTATATTTTTTCATGTTTCGCACTTGAATATTGTAATGGCTTATGACAAAGGTTACCTATGCAGGTCCACGTCGTCGTATAGACCCTAATATACGGCTACATTCGGTATTTTTAAGATTTTAACAAGATTTTTAACGGATTTTATTTTTTTTTTAATTTCCAAATTTGTACCAAATGGTGGAGGGTATACAAAGTTCGGCCTGGTGGAAAAAAAAAATGAAAGTATTCGAAATATTTAAATCCAAAATTTCTTTCTTTCCTTGCTTTCTATCATTGTCTTAACCATTTTCGAAGACAATGGAAAAGAAATCTCCATCTTATTAGCACGAGCTATCAATTTATCCACATCTTCCCTCCCGTAATTGTTAAACCTTCGTTGAGTTTTCACATTTTTATTGTTTTTCTTTTCCTCCTCCCTTTTCTTTTTTTTTGTGGGCGTTGAACTTGAAGACTGAAATTAAGTTCGGGCAATGGCACGGTTAACTGCATCATTTATTTTTTGTTTTTGTCTTGAATTTTCGGGGAGAAAAGATATCTGGTGAATAGCTATTATCTCTTGTTTATTTAAGTGTGTTGTAATTACCAAGTTTGTTGGGGGAAATTGTAGCATTGATGATGGTGGTGATAGCTCTAATAGGTGCTCAACTCCGAAACGAAAGACTTAAGACACAAACTTGGCCTAGAGGTAAAATTTAATATTTGGATGAAGGTTTAGTGATTGATCACTGATATTTTCGTTGTGTGTTTTTATACCCTTAGCCATATGGCTATGATACGGCCAGAACGTGCCTCATCGAAATAACGGTTTTAGACTTTAGGTCTCTTTGAAGGTGCGAACAAGGTCAATGTAGGTAAACTCCATCAAGTACCTCCCCCACGTCCAAGGTGTGAAGATGGAATATATCGGTCCACTCCATCTGGTATCTCCCACACAAAGTTTCAAAATGTTGAATATTCATGAATATTCATATTTCCATAAACACAAGATCTTCTATATCTATAAAAGAGGAAAATATTTATATGTTTGTTTGTTTGCAATTTATGGACGCGAAAACCGCTGAACAGATTTTCCTGAAAATTTCCAAGTATACTACAACATTGCCTGAAAGTAACATAGGCCATATAACTTTTTGAAATTCCACTTGGAACCAGAGATATGGCATCAGAATCGGAGGTACCTCCCAAAAGTTTAGATTTTATATCCACATATCTATTGATCGATTACAGGTAGACCAAATGGCTAATATCAGCCCTAATAGACTGTATTCTGGCACTTCCGACGGAATTAAGTCTAAAAGCAATTTATTCAAATTTTGGTGAAGACCGGTTAAGATACAGCTACAGCTCCCATATATATGTTTCATCTGATTTGAAATATTTTTCTTGTAGACAACTTCATTTTTAAGGAGAAGGCCACCTTGTCCATCAGAGGTTAGATAATTTTCTTTCGAGGACCAAAAATTCCAGTTCATATGGTCTTCTAAAAATGGATAAAGGTAGCAATTCTTTGAATAGAAGTTCAGGAAATCTCACAAAATAAAAAAAAAAATTTCCGTCCTACATCAGGATATCTTATCATTACAAACCAAAAAGTCTTCAAAAGGCAAATCAAACATTATTCTTCCTCGGACAGCAAAAGATCTTGGCATGATAAATCAGAAGATTTTTTCAAGAAGTCCGGAAATAAATGCCGTAGAGGACCATGGGGTCTCCTAATAACAGACAAAAAGGAAGATCTTTTTAAAGAAGATCAGATAGGTCAGAAGATCAACACATAAAAAACTCTAAGACATAACGACACAAACCCTGGGAGAGAAGAGAATAATAATAATAGACCATTCCAATATTTGTTGCCAACGAGCAAACATAGAATCCTTAATCCTTCGCAAAAAATTAATTTGAACCAAAATTAGTGTTGCAGTTTTCCGTTATGGTAATCTATTGGGTTTTATAGTAAATAAATAATTATAATTTTATGTGTACTACATGTTTATTTTAACATTTTTTAAACGCTGTTTTACTTATTAATATTTTAAATGTCTTTTTCAGATCTCAATCATCTACAGAATTTTAGGTAAGTTTATAACATTTTGAGACAGCAGCGAAGTAATTCTGAATTATTTATTTAACATCCAATTCTCTTCAAATTTCACATCATAATATTTCTACTAAAGCAATAACTGATGTGAAGATAGAATATGTCGGTCCATTCCTCCTGGTACCTCCCCCACAACGGATCAATATTTTGAATAGCCATGAAGCTTGTAAAGCACAGAAGAAACACAGCTCCAGTAAAAAATCGAGGCACATACAAATTTCCTTGATTTGAGTTACATGAAAAACATATTAAATGGATCAAAGGCATTTCCTTTCACTTGGCAAATTTCAATAATAGACTCACAATTTTTGAGTCTCAAGCAGCAGCGGCGGCAGCAGCAACTTATCGAATTCATTAGGAAATCATCACTTATTTAAATGAATGAACAGCAGCAGCAGCAGCAACAAATGGAAAGAAACTTCATATCATTTGCCATTTTGTGGTGGCAATAGAAAGTAAAGCAGCCGATGACAGTAAGCCAAATGGCGAGCCACTGTCTGATCGTTGTCTATATGTCTGTCTGCTGGTGGTTATCCGCATAAAAACCCCAAACTAGAGAGAGAAAGAAAAAACAAAACCAAAACAAGCAAAAAAATCCATATGAATATCATTGCAACACTTATGACACATTTTCCTCAAAAAACACAATTTTTTGCTGTTCATCGTTTCCCTATGCGTTTCTGCGAGCTGCATATCATTGTCATCACGTTATTTTTCCAATTCGTATTCATTCAAAACAATTGCAGCGTGTTTGGCATAATTCCTAATGTCAGGAAAAAAAGATATGCACAAAATATCACAGCCACAATAACCGCACAAAAGCGTTACAGTTTCAGCATTTAAAAGAAACAATTTTCACTTTCAACGGTTTTCTGTTTTTTACTGTCTTTTTTTGTTGTTGTTGTTGCGAAGATATTAAAAATTCCCATTAGCTTTAGTGAGCCGGTAATGATTTTTTTTTGTTCACGATTTTCTAGTAAATTTCTTTGCTAACGATTGCGTAATGGTGTTTTGGTTTTTATGGTTTAAGGGCGCTTGCGACTTTCATGCGTCGTTTTACATTTAAATTGGGTGTAAACAAAAGACTTAGACAACAAACCTTTCTTTAGCCACCACCACCAAACTATTCAAAGAGCGAAGGAGAGAGAGTGAGTGAGAGAGAAAGACAACCAAGGTAATGATGTTTGTTTTGGTTTCCATCACTTGTTGTTTTTATTGTTTTGTTTTTCTCTTTCAATTATTTATTCTAGTCACATCTTTCTTGGCGTTAACCAACATTTGTTGTAATTGTATAATTGTCTCCAACTAAATAAATAAACGTAAAAGGTGTCGTCTCAGTAATAACTGTGGTTGCGGATCATGTCTTTAGCTGTTCAAAAAAAAAAAAAGGAAAAGTTAAACTTTTTTTGTCGACTCGTAAATATTCAGCTCACGAAAGTTTTAGTTTAAAAAAGAGACAAATACGGAGGAAGTTTCCACTGCAGTTTCTGCGAATTTAACTAAACTATCCGATGAAGTGGGGAGTGTTTAATTTGGGTGTGTAAAAATGTGGGATTGCAACAAAACGCAACAGACACGCCCGTATGATGACTCATGCTAACAAACAATGTCCATCATATCATGTCTATTCATCTTCCATATAATTAAAGATGTCATAGAGATCTAAATAAGTTTCCACTTTTAATTGGAATTTTTAAATGTTTTGATCACGCATTTCAGGCGAATAATCATGCAACTGCTCACATACAAAAAATCATACAAAGCCATCATTTCGTAGTTTCTAAACCTTTAAATATTTTTAAAGCTGAGACTTAAGAGAAGACTCTTTGCACTTGTATGAGAATACCCTTTGGTCTTCTATGAAAAACCCTTTCGGTCTTCTATGAGAAGCACTTTTGGTCTTCTATGAAAAGCACTTTTGGTCTTCTATGAGAAGACCTTTTGGTCTTCTATGAGAAACTCTTTGGCCTTTTATGAGAAGACCCTTTGGTCTTTTATGAGGAAAGTCTTTGGTCGTCTATGAGAAGACCCTTTTTGGTCTTCTATGAGAAGACCTTGTGGTCCTCTATGAGAAAACCTTTTGTGTCCTCTATGAGAAGACATTTTGTGTCCTCTATGAGAAGACCTTGTGGTCTTCTATGAGAAACCCCTTTGGCCTTTTATGAGAAACCCCTTTGGCCTTCTATGAGAAGACCTTGTGCTCTTCTATGAGAAGACCTTGTGGTCTTCTATGAGAAGACCTTGTGGTCTTCTATGAGAAGACCTTGTGGTCTTCTATGAGACGACCTTGTGGTCTTCTATGAGAAGACCTTGTGGTCTTCTATGAGAAGGCTTGTGGTCTTCTATGAGAAGACCTTGTGGTCTTCTATGAGAAGACCTTGTGGTCTTCTATGAGAAGACCTTGTGGTCTTCTATGAGAAGAACTTGTGGTCTTCTATGAGAAGACCTTGTGGTCTTCTATGAGAAGACCTTCTGGTCTTCTATGAGAAGACCTTCTGGTCTTTTATGAGAAGAACTTGTGGTCTTCCAAGAGAAGACCTTCTGGACTTCTATGAGAAGATCCTTTGGTCTTCTATGAGAAGATCCTTTGGTCTTCTATGAGAAGACCTAGTGGTCTTCTATGAGAAGACCCTTTGTTCTTCTATGAGAAGACCCATTGGTCTTCTATGAGAAGGCCCATTGGTCTTCTATGAGAAGACCCATTGGTCTTCTATGAGAAGACCTTGTGGTCTTCTATTAGAGGACCATTTGGTATTCTATGAGAAGACCTTGTGGTCTTCTATTAGAGGACCATTTGGTATTCTATGAGAGGACCATTTGATCTTCTATTAGAAGGCCCTTTTTGTCTTCTATGAGTAGGCCTCTATGAGAAGATCTTTTGGTCTTCTATGAGAAGACCATTTGATCTTCTATGAGATGACCCTTTGGTCTTCTATGAGCAGACCTTTGGCTCTATGAGAAGACCTTGTGGTCTTCTATTAGAAAACCTTGTGGTCTTCTATGAGAAACCCCTTTTGGTTTTCTATGAGAATGTCCTTGGTCTTCTATGAGAGGATCCTTTGGTCTTTTATGAGAAGACCCTTTGGTCTTCTATGCGAAGACCTTTTGGTCTTCTATACGAAGACCTTCTGGTCTTCTATTAAAATATCTATGGGTCTTCCATGAGAAGACCTATGGGTCTTCTACGAGAAGACGTTCAATCATTCAACAAAAAATTGTAATTGCTTATGATTCACAATGATCGCGGTTTGATTCTCATTCTTTAGTTATTTTTTGTTAAATGCGGCTTATGAAAAGTATTTGAGGTAAAAACAATAACCCTCTTCTAAATAAAATATAACAGCATTTATTTCTGAGTTTATTTTATTCCAACGCCCACTTATGGATATAAGCTTTGTAAAGGTTGCTTGAATAATTTAGACACTCCTTGCAAAGGCCAAAAAAGATTGGCTTTTTTTGGTTGACAAAGTTAACTGCAATTTATGGTCAAATGACAGTTGCAAGTTGCGGTGTAACTCAAACAAACAAAATAATTTACCTACCGCATTGTAAATAATGGCTACACTGTAGCATACCAGGCTAATTATTCTACGTTTATCTACTCCCTCATAATGATTTGTTCCTTTTTTTTCCTAAAATTAAGAATATTTTAAAACTTTGTTCTACAGTACACCTTTGCTTAAATTTTCTTGTACATACTTTTTTAGTTTGTATGCAGTATTATTATCATTTTTTTATTTTTTGTTTTTAAACCCAGACCTTGACAATGTTGCATTTTGCTATTTTTTTTTTCTCGCTGACTAATGAAATGTCATCGTTTTGAAAAAAAAATTAGCTCTGAAAGATTAACCTTTAAAATTGGCTTGCCAGTAATTTTGCATTGAGTAACATCACAATTATCTCTATTTATCTGTGTGTTCAATAATGGTGATCACCTTTAGTTATTTTTAGTATCACATTTTTTTTCTTCTCGTTTCTTATGACTCAGTTTCTTTATGCAAATAGGTTTCTTTGTTTTTGGCTAATAGCAGTAACACAAATCAAAAATATTTTGGCGGTGCACTGCTGCTGGAGTGTTCCATAAAAATGTGTGTGCCCATTTTTTGGAGTTTTCGAGTTAAGAAATGTTACATTTATCGTGACTTGATTGTCGTTAAGAAAGACATTTTTGTCTCGGCACAAAGTGCCATAAAGCCGGGAGGTATGATCACGTTTCTAAACGACGTTTTTTTTTTTGGTTTGAAAATATTTTTTGTTTCGTTTTTCGTTTTTTGATGATTTACATTGATCGCATGCCATAAATGTTGAAAAATGGCAGACACATTCATATATTAAATATTATTTATTGTTATCGGAATGGAGAGGTGCATAGGCTACATGCATAAATTTATGATTGGCTAGGGTTAGATTGTGACCAAAAAAACATTGCTGCAAAAAAAAAAACAAAAGACTTAAGACACAAACGTGTTATGACGAATGCAGTTTTTTTTGTCGATGTGTTTGACAAATATGCGCCAGATCGTTAGGGTTATTGTCAATTGTTCTACTTTGTTGAATGGCTGCAGCCATACGAATAAATTTAATTGGACAATTATCAGGCATTAAATGTTTGCAATTTACACAAATTGTCATAAATTGTCTGTTTGTTTTTGGACAAAAAAAAAAAAAAAAAAACAAGTGATTTATAACAAACTTGCAAGTGCCCGCTACTTCGTCAGTGAAAAAAATAGATTCTTTCTAATAGTTGGTGTGTGGCATTTTTAGTACTCAAAATACACAATTTGTCTATATTGACTATAAAATTTTGAATCAAAACTTCATACATTGTACTAAATTCTCAGACTTTCAAGGTTTTTTTCATTAATATTTTTCTTTTTCGGAAAGAATTATAGGAAAATGTTTACCTTTTAAACCAAAAAGTATTCATTTTGAATGTTATGCAGGAGAACATTAGCAAAACCATTGCACAATGTTCT